AGTAGTAGTAGTAGGTAGTAAGTAGGGGGTGGTGGTGGTCAGGAGGACATGTTTAGTTCCCGTTGCTATTGTCGTTGCAGCTGCTGTTGCTGTTGGTGTTGTTGCCGAGGGCTCTCGGAAGCAGCACCAGTAAGAAGTAGTATGATCACGACCGAAGTGGTGACAACGAAGCAGACGATGTTGTTCTTGGCGCTGCCACTGTTATTACGAAATTGGATGCCGATGGTGACGAATGCAGCTGTTGCTCCGTTTGATGGTTATCATCACGATAGCCAAGCGGAAGGTGCACGGCCGGGCTTTTGCTCCGTGTTTCTGAGCTGCCCGCCCAATGTCACACTGCGCTGCTGGCTTTGGGCTGGGCGGCTTCGCAAGGAGGTCGGTACCTGCGGTTGACAAGTTTTGTCCCCTCGGATATCTTGACTGATTCGCGAGGCTGAGACGCTGATGCCCATTATATATTCGTTCATCGATCATGCTTTGTGTGCGGTGTCGGTGCCATTGGGCGTTCATTTAGTAAACTAAAGGAGTAATTCCAACATGCATGTCTTCAGGCGCGGCAGGAGCCAGCTGAGCAGCCAGAGCTGCACGGCTGCAGTCTGGGAGCCTTTTTGAGTGGGCTCAAAAGTTGCCTTCGTTTCGTCCGTGCCAGTCATATGTGCGCTGAGGCTGCTCGGGCGCGTGAACTTCGCACGCTTCGAGTACCATGGCTACGACAAGTACAGCTGTTTCAAGGGAGTTCCACCATCGTTTTCTCGAGTCACCAGTATCGAGCACCAAACATGTGCTGCTGCTGAAGGAATGTCATCGATCCCGTTGATGAGTCTGTGGAGCTCCGTGGATGCAGCATTTGCGAAATGTCTTTTGTCATCTTGATCGACTTATCCAACAATCGTTGGCGGCCAGAGCATTTTGCTAATTCCCTTCCTGGCGTGCTTGACAACTAGAAGAAGATGTTTATGTGAAAATTGTGTGTGAGTATGTCGACTGCTTACACCAGCAGAGGCTCGTGCTGGAGATCGAAGAGGCGCAACTGGCATCCAAGACAACCATGAGCGACTTGTTTTGAAATGCTGTGTCTCGGTGCTGTGGAGCTCTTGATGAAGAGCTTTGGCACTGAAGAGGCATTTTGCGGCCGCTCGATAAGGCCGATAAGGCCTAACAGCTGCATGAAGGACGGATAAAGCTGAGGCAGCCAACCGATGCCGATTGAAGATGGGGCATCGCGCATGGACGCAAGTGAGTTCAGCAAGCAAGGACCGGCTTGACGCTGGTTTGCGATGGCTGTCATCAGATGTCATCAGGACCTGCCACTCAGTCCATGTCGGAACCATCCAAGACGGCCGTGAGCTCAGTATGTCACTGCAGCCTTGCTCAAATCGATCTCCGGATCTGCTGGCCTGCCTGCCCTGCAAAGCAGGATGGCCGAATCGAGCGGGCAGATGTGCAGCGGACGAAGCTTCTTGGTTGAAACCTGCACAGCCAGCTTCGAACATGATTGGCGCAGTATTTTAAGCTGCACCATTCCCCTCAATCATTCCGAGCCTCCGAGCCCTAGAAGCAAACACGTGCTGGCGAAAGAGGAAGGTTGAGAAGCTGCGCTGGGCACAAGCGCGTTTGCCGGTACTTGTGCGTGACGAGTTCATCTCGTCATCCGTTCGCGTGAGATTGCAAGCGAAACTCTTGCGTGGCCGTCCAGGATCCGGCATACCGGAGGAAAGCCGCCTCCAGAGAGCGTTCAGCAGCTGCCCTCCATTTGGACAACGCAGGCCTGGGGTCTTCACCGTTGTGTTTTGGTAAGCAGCATCCGATCGAACTGCACTTTGCACATGCTGGCAGGGGTTCCACAGCTTCGGAGACCTGGAGGAAGGAACTTCCACCCGTGCAAATACAGCCAGCACGGCAAAGGCCCACGAGTCTGCCTTCATGGAGACCCGCAAGTGTGCCCTTTGGACGACGTGCAGTACTTCTCATGTTTGTGCCTGGCCTAGTCTTCAGGCCGCCTCGACGAACCAGTCGTCTCCGACGCCACGGATCGCAGGAGAATGCATGGGCACTCGTTCGGCGTGTGACAGCATCGCTTAGCTTCAGGTGCTGTTGCAGGGTTTACCATTTTCACGAGTCCGTGCAGCGGAGTTTGCAAAATTAGATGCACTGCCGCATGCAGGAGGCAAGCCAGGTCCGCGGAAAGGCAGCGGCCGAGCCCCTCTGTGTGGTTCCCAGCGAGTCCCCCGAAAACCAGTCGAATATAGTGGAACCCTCGCAGATCTCCGCCCTCTGACTCAGGTCTGCGCGGGAGGCCAAGTACAAGGAGCGAAGGGCATTTCTTTCTCAAGATGTGTAGTGTAGTGAGTCATGGACGACTTGGCTTGTGCAAGGAGATTCAGGCAGCTGTAAGACGCATTATGTTGCAGTCTCCCAGGAGTACAACCAGGGCAGCCAACCGTTGCCACAGCCCTCGTACTGACCTGTACTGACCGGTCTTCCGAGCCGGGGGGAAGGTGCGTACCTTCTGAATATGCGTCATCATCCCAGAGGCATCCGCTGAAAGACCCACGCGCTCTGAGAGAAACCCAGGCCCACCCGCTGGCATTGCAGGCGGCGCATTTGTGGCCTTCCCGGTGCCGTGCTTGTACGACCTTTACCCATCCCTAAAATGTCATGAAGCCCGACAACGTGTAGCCAGCCGAGAGAACGAAAGAGAATTCCACGAGCCACAGAAGTCTTTCGGCGAAACTTCAGTGCTTCGGTGCAGGCCACCTGTATCACATGTCTCACCTCAGTTTCACTTTCTAAACTTATGTGTCAAGCTCTCAGAAACTAAGGAGCCCCCAAGGGTGTCAGTGTGCGACAGCCACGACTCAAACCTACGGAGCGTCATTCGTAGTTGCGTAACTTTCCTCCATGACATATAATATAATATCAAAGTTAGGGTTGCGCTACCTAGTGCCTCTCCGATGCGCTGTGACCAAGTTGACGGCGCAACATTGGCTTAAAAAGGCTTTCCGAAGGTGAGATTTGCAAGCCTCCGCACCTTTTGGGCTGCGTGTGTTTTGTATCGCAACACCTTCCAAGCCGAGAAGAGAAATTTGTCAGCCTGTCGATAACAAATCGCGGCATGCAAGCCGCGCTAAATACCAGGACTAGAGTGACGATGTCAGCTGCAGACTCTAGGTGCCTACTTAGGCCCTAGAGAGAGTTCCGCGAATCCTCCGTAAATGTCGCCATGAGCGAAGCCTCTCAAAAGCTCATATTTGCTGCTGCTGCAGGCAATCTGGAGCAGGCCGATGGCATATCATAGGGATGGAGAGAGCTTCACGTGCCAATCGTACTTGTACCACTCGTCAGCCCTTGAACAGTGGCGCTCCAAGACTTTGGTGGTGAAGGTGGTCTTGCCGACATCCCTCGAAGTAACGATGAAAGATGGCAATTGGGGGGGCGAGATCCTTGCACGGCAGAGAGAGACAGACGAAGAGCGAGAGAGAGAGAGAGAGAGATAGATAGTTAGTTAGATAGATAGATAGATAGATAGATTTATAGATAGATAGATAGATAGAGATATATACATATACACACACACACACACATATATATATATATATACACACATGTATGAGGAGGGGTTGGGCGGGCCGAAGGCCTGAGGGTCGTAACACACCCCAACCCCCAGAAGAAAGAGAAAGACCTCAGCCAGCAAGCAAGCAAGCAAGCAAGAAAGACCAGGGCACCGGCTTCAGGTGGAGAGGCTGATCCTGAAAGAGTTTGCCGACGTTGAAGCGAAGGCAGCGATCGTGGCGAAATGCATGTCGTTTTTGAATCTTGTGTGAGTTCCGGCCCCTTTTCTTTCCGCAAAAGAGGACGGCGATGGGCAGACTGCTCTGATTGCCGCTGCTCGCGCAGGCCGGCTGAAGGTGGTGCAGAGGCTTCTGGAGTTACGTGCTGACATCGCCCTGAATGCCATGGACGCCAGTGGTCGCACAGCCTTGGACCATGCTGTGGAGAACGGGCACAAGGAGGTCGTGGCATTCATGACTGCAGATGTCAGCCTGTTGAACTTCAGCCAGGGCCTCATGCCAGCAATACAACGTGGCGACGAGAAATCGGTGAGCCTGATTCTCAAAGCTGCAGCGCCCACTGATGGACAGCCGTGGCCGCCTTGGGCAGATGTGAATATGCGCGATGCCAGGGGACAACCTTTGCTGCATGCAGGAGTGAAGTCGAAACGACCCGGCCTGTTGTCAGAACTTCTGCGCCAGCCTGGGCTGGAAGTCAACAGCCTAGACCGCTATGGTCGCACTGCATTGGACCTCGCAGTGGCAAACGGTGAGGAAGAGATGGCCTTCTTGCTGCAGAAGAAAGGAGCCAAGCCCAGCGATGATCTCGAAGACTAGAGACTGGTGGAACTCTCCCGCAGCATGTTGGCGGTTCAGGTGCAAACGGTAGCCCAGGACTCCAGCGACAGCGGCTTCAACATCCACCAGCCTTGACAGCCTGCTGCAGCGTGCGGTGGATCTGAAACGGAATGGTGCACTGGATGGAGGGTTGCAGCCGTGTTGAGGGCATCAGTAACGCGCACCTGCCAAGAGCCCTAGCATTTGTGCCAGAGCCTGTAAGGCGTGCTCAAAAAGGGTTGCAGCCTGAAGTTTGCAGCGCATGCCTGTGCGGAATTCAAGCTTTCGTGACGGATTTTGCAAATGCCAAGGTCTAGGTCATGATGAGGGCTCCAAACCTCGGGATTGTGAGAGGCACCATTCCAACCTGCAGTGCCGGCAGGCTTCCCTGGAGATGTCCACGGATGGTTCACATCAGTACGAGAAGGCTTCATGTCCAAAATAGCAACGGGCTTCGAATTTGAGATGCGATTTGTACGTACTCTGCGTAGAATCAGAACCTTCGCAGGCCAAGAAGAACGCCTTCTTATTCAGCGCGCAGAGTGCATGGACCTTGGCTTGTCGGAGTACACCAGCAGAAGCTCCTGGGATCCTGCTTCCGCTTTCAATGAGAATGAGAATCCTGGGTAGTGCCTGTCTTCCATTGGCCGTGACGAAGCAAGCCCTCGTGGGTATGGGCAGCCTGGCATTTGCAGCACGATCGCAACCTCCTGAGATGTCCCCGCTGCATGAGGTGCCAACTCGCGATTCCATCAGCAGTCTGCGGCTTGAACGGCCCTGCAACATGGGTTTGCGCACATGGGCACACATGCCGTATGACTAAATTTCAATTTACCTGAGTTTTGAGAAGCCGAGGTCAGATCACAGAGAAGAATTTGCCCGGAGCTTTGCCAGAGCTGCATGGATCAGCTGCACGGCAGTTGGCCATCTGCAAAAGTGCCTCCCGCTCAAAAACTTTTTGGAGCATTGGCAGAGAGCTCAAGAAAGCAAAGCAAGGCTCAGCATCGCTGCAGACCCTTGCGCGAAGCTTTTTGGATTGGTCGGGGCCTCTGTGGTCCCGGGGTGATGTCGAGGACGCTTGTTCGGCGTAGGGAAATGTTCCTGCTTCTGATGCTCCCTCCCTGCCGCTGGTTTGCCGCAAGGTCGAGTCGGACTTCACTCCGCTCTCGCTTTGCCAGGAGGGGTCGACCCTGTCCACCACGGCTCAGGGTAGAGAGGCTCTGGGCTGCAGAGGATGCGAAGCCGTACCTGGACCAGATCGCCTCCGATGAGATTTGTGAGGGTAAACTCAAGGACTACGTGCGGGAGCCCAGCAGAAACGGGTGGCCTGGAGGTGTGGTGGGCGAATGGCAGGTCCCCGATTCATGCCTCTCTCTCTCTCCCTCCCTCCCTCCCTCCCCCTCTCCCTCTCCCTCTCCTCTCCCTCTCCTCTCCCTCTCCTCTCCCTCTCCCCCTCTTCCCTCTCCCCCTCTCTCCCTCTCTCTCCCACTCTCTCTCTGTCTCTCTCTCTCTCTCTCTGTGGTTTGTGGCGGGCACTGTTGCGGAAACGGCTCAAAAAGATCACAGGCACGGGCCATGAGAACTACAATGAACTACGGGAAGATCGACTGAGCTTTAGCATGCATACCAATGCAAGGTTATCCCCCTGAAGCAGATCATTTTCTTCCGCTTGATCAAGCAACTGTCAGAGGCTCCGGGCACGTTCAGTCGATTCACTCGTCACTCGTGCTGTTTGGCTTAACAGAACATGAGTGCAAGATGCGACTTGCAGACTGCACAGTTGAACATAGTTGAGGAATGTCGAGGGCAGGCCGCATACCTCCATCGACAGGTGTATGTGAGCATGACCATCGAAGATTTCGAGAATGCGGCATCCATTGTGCCACAGCCTCTGCCAAAATAGTCATTGCACCCACTGCAACTTGTGTATTGGCGAAAGCTTCGGTCGAATCTGGTTGCAGATGACCTGGCCAAGGCCCTTCAACATCGCAGAGACATGGATGGCGAATGCCTCACGTCAGCAAGGTGGGAACATGCCGCCTATTTCTCGTCATTGAAGAGAAACTCTACTGCTGGATTTGCCCATCTCGTGTTGTGAACATGTGTCCCGCGAAAAGGACACGGCTAGGTTGAGCCGGAGTAGTTGGATGTGTGGCAGGCATCAGCATTCAGATCAACTACATGCAGAAGGCCATCATCTTTGGGGCGCCGACGAAAGTTGACATGCGGGGGCCTTGACAACCTGTGGCTACACATGACATGACAATTGTAATGTCCAATCAGCCCTAAGGAAGAGCATGCGTCAGCCGCTTATCGAAATTGGCAACGGGCCCAGCTGGCTTGCGACATGAATGGCGCGATTGTGGAACCGTGAATGTTGCTCCGACAAAGTCAGCGCTGACATTTGGCCACGTCCAACTCTTTGCATCTCTTTGCTCGTGGTCAATTCAAGAAGCGAGTTGTCTTGCAAGACTGCGAGGCTTCAAGCTGCAGCAGGCAGGGTTGTCTGGGCTTCCTGGAGTTTTCTCGAGATCTTCAGAATGCGGTGGTAGGTGTTTTGCGTCTAGGCTAGGTGGCTAGCTGCTTTTTTAGAGGAGCTACTTTCTCTGATCCTGAGGCTATGCAGTGCGTTGCGCAGGACCCGATGGCCTTGGGGGGCAATGGGCACGGTTTTCATGGGCAATCGTGTATCCCGCGGGACTCCGAAACACGTGAAGGCTATTGGGATGTGCCATGGAGAGGGCGATGGGTGTTGCGTGCATCGGCAGGAAGAGCTGCAGAGAAAGGACAAGCTTGAGAAGCAGCCGGGGCCTCGACTACCTAGAGTCTTTGGGCTCGCGAGGTGCTGCGAGACTTGTCTTCGGACTTCCACAGCTCAGTCTGCGCACTGAGGCAGCTGCTCACAAACATCAAGGAGAGGATGGAGCAGGACTGGGTTGCCGCAGCTTTTGTCTTCTTGAGATGTCCTTGGCCTATTTCTGCCATCTGTGTCTGGGACTCAACGCTACGATCAAAGCGCGAGGGATGCACCATGCATGCGCAGGAGACGAGGTCCATCCGGCAGCGAAAGGAGGAGATCGAAAGGCGCAAGGAAGAGAGTGCGATGCTTGGTCCATGCCTGCATGCCATGCACCCGTTGTGCTGTCCTCCGGCTTTATTGCTTCCACATGGTTTCGAAGCGATCATGCTCTCCGGTGCATTCTTTCCGTTTCCAGAGCCGGCATAGATTCTGTCCATCTGGCGGAGTCGATTGCTGTAAACAATTGACATTGAAGCGCGGGGGCCTTGCCAAGCGGGGTAGACGAATGGTTCGTGGCGGTCGTGGCGCTTGGTGGCTACGGATTCAGAGAACACTTGCTGGTGAGACGTGGTAGGAACCCTCTCAGGCCGCGTGGGTCACCCCTACACTTAACATTCCGGATCTGGCAAGCATCGGCGTCAAAGCAAAACACGAGCATCTAGCTGAGGCGAGCGTCGCAAGCAGATCCAGGAGAGGGAGGCCGCGACCTCACTAGCAGGGGGAATATTCAAGTTCAAAACTGCTACTGCTACTACTGCTGCTGCTACTGCTACCGCTGCAACTCTGCTACTGCTACTGCTACTGCTGCTGCTGCTACAGCTACTGCTACCGCTATCGCTACAACGACCACGACGACGGCGACGGGCGACGACGACCGCTACTACCAACACTACTACCACCACTACTTATTACTAACCACTACTACTGCTACTACTACTACTACTACTACTCCTACTACTACTACTACTGCTCCTACTACTACTACTGCTCCTACTACTACTACTACTACTACT